TATGTTCCTAAATGTCACTTGTTAGAATGGGTCCGAATCTAAGAAGACAAGGTCAGGGTTTGTCTCCGGGGCTCCTGCTGTTGGCCTTTGAGAAGACAAGACTGTGCTGCGGTACTGGGAGAGACTGAGGTCTGCGTGATGTGATCTTAGAAAAGTTGCTTTCTGATCTGGACATTGCAAGTTTACCTAGTCATTGGATGGCGAAGCCTAACCCACTAGAACCACTTGCCGATTTAACAAGAAATAACATAATATTTCTCTCTATATCTTGCTTTCAATATTTTCATCTTTTCCTGTCGAAATATTAGTGTGTGTGATCATTGATTCCAGCCTCAGCGTTTTGGGAAGGGGCCATGGACCAGCAGTGCTTATGTTATGGTTTTTGTTTTGCGATTTAAGGATTTAATATATGCAGACGTGCCTAGAATAAATCTAAGCTCTGGTTTTTGCCTCGTCTGCATAGGTTTTGCTTCATAAGAAGTTGGTAAATGGTAGACCTTGTTCTAAGCCTTTGGGGAGAGGGCAAATGTGTGACTGGGCAGGGCATCATTTCTCTGTCGTTAGCTGGATGGGAAGTTAAAGTCGGGTGACTGATGAAGGAAGATCTGGTCACTGAGGGACCCTGCTGTGGGTTGGTGGTAAGTAGCTTGTCTCTACTATGTGATGATGTCTTAAGATACAGAATTCCTACTCTGACTACAGGGCAAGGTCTTTCAGGCACCCTCTCCACTATTGCTTAGGGTTTTACAGAGAACCACAGTGGAGCATTGGGCTGACTAAAGTCCAGCCGAAGAGAGAGAGGAGTGAGAATACGAACATAGAGGTCAAGACCATGATGGGGACACCCACTGAAACAGCTGACCTAAGCTAATGGAAGCCTTCCAACCCCAGCCTGACAGCGAGGGAACCAGCACAGGACCAAACTATCCCTCTGAATGTGGATGACAGTTGTATGGCAGGGGTAGACTGTGGGGCCACTGACAGTGAGACCAGGATTTATCCCTACTGCTTGAACTGGCTTTTTGGAACTCATTCTCTCTGGAGGGATACCTTGCTCAGCCCAGATATAGTGGGGAGGGCCTTGTTCCTGCCTCAAAGCAATGCGCTAGACTTTGTTGACTCCCCATGGGAAACTTTACCCACTCTGAGGAGTGGATTGGGAGTGGGATTAGTGGGGGGAGGAAGAAGAGGGGAAGGAGTGGGAAATGGCTTTGTCATGTAAAACGAGAAGATAGTTTTTCTAAAAAAGAATTTTAAAAAATCTTAAAAATAAAAATGAAAAATAAATCTAAAAAAAGATCCAGAATTCCCCAGGCAGACATGCAGATACTGCTCTTGTTAGCAAAGAGCTTCGTTGAGGTTTCAGAATCCTGAAGAGGAGGTATTTGGGTTCTTTTCCTTTGCACTGTCAAAGTAGATCTTTCTAGCCCATCCCCTCTCCTAAGACCAGAGCTCGGCTTCAGAGGAGGCCTCTTGAAAGCTGAAAGCAAGGAGAATCAAAGGGGAATCCAAGTTCCCAGTGCTGGTCTGTGGGAAGGAGCACGCATCTACATAGCTCTCCCAGACCTGGAAAGCTCTCCTGCGCCAAGGGGCTTGTACAGCCCTTGTGATGGCTGAGGAGTTCTCCCCGTGTCCATACTGGACTGTTGAAGAATGGAAGCTTTCTCCAGCTCCATGTCCCTGGCTTAAAGGCATACGTAAATTAGGATACTAGAGTATCGTGCTCTTAATTTTCCCCGAGACTAAGAATAGAATACATGTAGCCACGTGGCCCAGAGAATCTCTTAAGTAGTGTGACTTGCACACTGCGTGGCTCAGGGCAGTCTGCTAATCCACACTGGTTACCCTTCCGTTTGGTTCTTGTGAATCATGTGTGATCACCAGGGGTACATGTAAAAAGGAAGAATAAACACATCAACACATCCTAAACCAAAATGCCTTTTCATTGGAAAGATAAATGTCTCTTATAATTTAATGGAAAAACTAGTTGCTTAGGGTAATGTTTAAATCTTGAGTATTAAGAGCATCATTCAAATTCTGGTTATTTTATATAACACAAATTTATTCTTTTTTTTTTCTGTGTAGCTTTGGAGCCTGTTCTGGAGCTAGCTCTTGTAGACCAGCCTGGCTTCGAACTCACAGAGATCCACCTGCCTCTGCCTCTGCCTCCCAAGTACTGGGATTAAAGGCTTGTGCCACCACCTCCCGGCCTTACATTTATTCTTGAGATTAATTTAGAATAACCTGTAATTGACTACTTTTTTTCTTTCATTCTTGATTTTTAACCTATTATATGATTCACTAATATAGTGTGACAGAAAGCGGAGAGGAAAGGTGAGAAATGATTCAAATTTTTACCATGTTTTCTGCTCCTGTTCATTCTTACGTTGCACCAATCATGAGTCCTGCTTTCCACATTAAATATTGCAGATCATTAAATGAATAGCTTAAATGAAATTTAAAACAGCATAAATTAAATTAATGCCTGATATGAATATTATATTAGTATTTTTGTGAATAATTCACATGCAAGTGTTTTTTAAATCCTCTTTGTAATTAAGGAATCATTACCCAGGATAGTGTCTGTCAGGAACTGCAGCACTACCTCTGCTCTGTCCCCGTGCTTACTGACGAACCTCAACATACTGCAGGATGTGCATTTCTGTCCCCATGTCGCCGTAATGGAAGCATAAAGCCACTGTGTGGCTCACACACTTCACTGTGAGCCTTTCTGCCCCCATATCACAGTAATGGAAGCGGGACGGAGGGACATGAGGCCAATGTGTGGCTCACACACGTCACTGTGACGAGCTGTACCTGTGTAATATGGTATTCTGTCAGAATGAACAATATTAGTCTGAAAATGGGTTTTTTTTTCAAATTGAGTTCTAAATGGCTGTTTGCTTGAAATTGAACTTGGTCATCAACAACTAATATCACTTAATATTTAGTGAGTGCCTACAGAAACAAATGGTTCATACCCTTCTTCCAATGACTGTTTATTCCCAGAGAGAGCAATTGTGTCTTCACCTGTCTCTATGTACTTGTGAAAGCAAGTGCCCTCAGAAGAAGGAGACAGATCCTTTGCACCCAGAGTTCAGAGGGTTGTGAGCTGCTGGAACAGAACCCTGGTCCCCTGCAAGAGCAGCAAGCCCTCTTATCTGCTGAGCCCTCCCTCCAGTGCCCTCCCTGCCATGTTTTGATCTTTCATTTTAATTTTTATGGGAAATATCCATAAGTTGATAAAACAAAATCTTAAGGAAAAAACTAATCATCGTTAAACTTGTTAAAACAGTTGTGTTTGTTGATATCTCTTTTTTGTTTGTTTGCTTGTTTGTTGTTTTTCGAGACAAGGTTTCTCTGTAGCTTTGGAGCCTGTCCTAGAACTAGCTCATGTAGACCAGGTTGGCCATGAACTCAGAGATCCGCCTGCCTCTGCCTTTTGTTTGTTTGGTTTTTCCACACAGGATTTTATTAAGTAGCCCTGTCTGTCCTGGGACGTTCTCTGTAGGCCAGGCTGACCTCACAGAGATCCGCCTGCCTCTGCCTCCCAGTGCTGGGATTAAAGGCGTGCGCCACCACTGCCTGACTTGTTGATATCTCTTTCTCACAACATTGAGTTAGAAATATGTCCAGCACTTGATCATTTGTCTTGAAAAGCTTTCTACACGTCTGTCGGGGCCTCTTGAGCCTCGCTCATTGGGTTGATTACAGTATTTCTTCTCCATAATCTCCTCATCAGGTTGTGCATGGCCTGTGCTTTTGTTTCATGTTTGTGAACCTAACACCTACAGCAGCCAGCTCCCCATCTCGATGAGTTCTGCTCCTCACACTGACAGCATTGGGAGGCTGTGGCCCTGTGTGTGTTAGTTAGACCCTGTGTTTTGTATGTATGTGAGTGTGTTTTTTATATTGTTGATATGTGCATACGCATACTAGTGGGGCCCAGAGGTCTTCCTTGATTTCTCTCCAGCTTATTTTTTTTATTATTTTTTTCATTTACTCTTATTAGGTGTGTGTTTGGGGGTGCATAGCTGTTGTGCACATGTGGAGCTCAGAGAAAAGCCTTGTGGAGCTGATTCTTTGCCTCCATGTTCACAGGAGTTCTAGGAAGTGAAAATAGGTCAGCGGACTTTGACTGCTGGGTGACAATCACCTTTACCTGTGAGCCTTCTAGAAGCCCCTCCTACCTTGTGTTTTTTGAGACAGATCCTCTCTCTGAGCCCAGAGGACAGGCCAGTGGGCTTCAGGGATCTGCCTGTCCGTGGCTCTCCACTCCTGAGATCACAAATGCACCATGGTGTCTGGCTTTTCCTTTACGATACATAAGGATAAGTGTAAATATATATATTTACAATCTGTCTGCATTCGTTTACACCGTTACAACAAGATCTTTAATGAATTCAGGTTCTTTATATTAATATAATCATGATGTTATGCAACTTAGTTTTTTCCCACTCAGGGTCTAGAAGATATTTACGCACTGACATTTGAATGGTTGACTTTTTTTTTTAACACTTGACATTTCAATCCTTCTAGAGTTGGGATTTGTGATTTGAGTGAACGAAGGCTTCGGCTTCATGTGATCTTTCCCATAAAGCATTTCTCTCAAGGTCTCAACTTGTTTTGGTACTTCTCTTCTTCCTCAAGTGCTGTCACTGACCAGCAGACTTGTGCAAGTGTTTCTGCCTGTGGCTTCTTCTTTTCTCTTACTGCCTCTGTCTTCGTCCTCTTCCTCCTCCTCCTCCCTCCCCTCCCCTCCCTTCCTGTCCCCACACACACATTCATCTCTTACATTTAAGCCAGCATAGTGGTGCATGCCCATAATGCGAGCCTTGGGAGGTTGAAGCAAGAGACTCAGGAACTCAAAGCCAGCTTCAATGACAACAAATTCTTGGCCAGCCTGGGCTGCAGGAGAAGACACACTCCTTTCCCTGATAAGAGATACCTTTGAACTCATGTGTGCATATGTCTATTTTAAGTATCCGTTTTCCCATTAGGTTTTGGACATAGTAAAATCAAGTATCCGCACAGTTCTTCCAAGAATCTGGAGGGTCCCGGATGCTGAAGAACTGAGTTTATACCGGATTTTCAACCGGGTGTTTAACCGCCTCCTTTGGAGTCATGGCCAAGGACTGTGGAGCTGTTTCTGTGACTCAGGGTAAGCTGAAGTCATTTCATTTTCTGTTACTGCAATTTTAAATGTTTTGCCATTAGTTATGCAGGCAGACAAAGGACATGGTCAAACATCTTTAATAGTAGTCTTTTAAAAGATGAACTTTTACTGCATGTAATTATAGTACTCAAATATAATTTATATCAATTAAGTTGATTTGCATAAGTCAATAGTGAGCTCTGGGTTCAATGAGAGACCTTTCTAAAAATAAGATGTAGAGTAATCAAGAAAGGGAGGGACCCATCATCAAACTTCCCCCCATGAACACATACAGAAACACTTGCAGGACATGTGCATGCACAGAGAATATACATACCATACCATGCAGAGGCACATATATACAGATATGTGCCTACACACCACACACATACTTCACACATACATACGTACACCACATACCCGCACAAACACATACATGCCCAATTAAAGAGATTTCTGGGCAGTCTTGAGTCCAGTGTTTTATTTGCTTATCAAAATCATTGCTTAAAATGTAGACATTTCTCTCATCTTTCATCAGAGTCTAAGCTTGTCTACAGACACAGGCTGCCCATCACATGTGCTCCAGAAAACACGGATTATTTTTCAAATATTAAAAATCTGTCTATTCTGCATGATTTGAGCATGCTACTCTGTGTAGCATCCCAGAGTACACTCTTCTCTGCTATGAAATCTGAGCATTCTGTTTAGCGCCGAGACTCCTAGTCATGTGTACCTTTCGCAGACCCCTTGTAAACACTAGGTGTTTTCCCTCGTCGGTCACTCACCAGTGGAAGCTCACCCGGGTTGCATTTCCATCTGAGGATAATCTTGGCTATAAGACTTCCCTCCAGAGATTTAGGTGAAATATTTGATCTGTGTTCTATAGCCACCCTCCACCCCAACTGATGGCTCTCTGGAATGCTTCTATCTGAATTCTCTTTGGTTTGGTTTGTTTGTGGATCCTTTGGCTTGGTTCTACATAGGGATTTCAGCTAATGCCAACCATGGAAGGCTGTAAGGCAGTCTGCTATTTACATTAATGCTGGGTATTTGCCAGTGTCAACATCTAAATATATACATCTGGTGACTTCGTTGATCACAGGGTTTTATTTTATTTTATTTTATTTTATTTTATTTTATTTTATTTCCTTACTCTTTTTGGTAACATATTCTGGCTTGCTTGAATTTCCTCATCACCTGTGCACATTTTCCTGGTAGTATCTTTCTCTACAAATTCTGACAGCAGTAGTAAGTCACACTTATTACTTACTTAGGGCTTACTAAGCATAGGACAGTTGTTCATATAGTCACCATAAAAATATCTAGAGTAGACTATTACTGTTATTTTCATTTGACAGGTGAAGAAACTAAAATGTATACAGAATACATAAATTATCCAGGTTGCCATAGAAATTGGATGACCCTCCTTTTAAACCCAGGAAGTCTGAGTTGAGCTCTCAGTGCAGTGCCTTATTGTTTGTCCCCAGACATATTTGCTGTTTGCCCACATTTACCAAGCCTTCTTCACTTCAGTTCCCCAGCATTCAATTGCTTAGCCAGTTATGCCTGAGCAGGTGGAGGAGAAACACTTGGGAGTTCAATATTCTACACACTTTTCTAACGTGCTGGTGTTTTTTTTATATGTTTAGCTCCGGGCTTTATGTGACAGACACAAGTGAGCTCGGTAGGCTTTCTCGACTCTGTGACATCACATGGTGCTACTTATGCTTGGTGGTCTTCAGTTTGGATCTTCCACAGTTTGACTGTGTTTTTGATACTTTGCCCATCAGTATGTCTTCCTTTAATAGCTGATCCAATAGCTAAGGTGAAAGAAACCTAGTCTCATTTCTTAATGAATGATTTTAATTTAAAAAATGTTTTCATTCTCACCTATGTGGAAAATATTAGACAAATATTTTAAATAACAATAGGGCAGCTCCATTCCTGTTTTTGTCTGTTAATACCCAAGAATAAGATTAAACAAGTAAGCCATTTTGCCTATTTCCAGAAACATTGAAAAAAGGTTATAAATCTTGTTTGCTGGTTTCAATAAATTTAGCTCAGGGCTTTTGTATCAAATATCCTGGTCCTTCTCTTCTTGGATGCTCATGCGCAAAACCCCTTGGTTCCACATAGCCCTCTGGGAGGATTTTTTAAAGATATATTTTATTTTAAAAATGGCGTGTATATGTTTCTATGAGAGTATGCACAAGTGAGTGTAGGCATCCATAAAGCCACAAGGAGGCACTGGATCCTGTGAAGGCAGAGTTACTGGTGGTTGTGAGCTGCCTAATGTAGGTGCTAGGATCCAAAGTCAGATTTCTGTGGACTCTAGGTCAGAAAATATGGCTATGTTGAGTAACATTTCAGTTGAGACTTGCAGAAGATTAGGTGTTAGCCATATAAAGTGAGGGGGAAAGAAGAGGAAATGGGGAGGAAAATGGGGAATGAAGAGAAAAGGGAAATGGGGTAGCACCACCATGTTGGAAAGGATTCACAAGTCCTCTTTAGACCCAGGGCAAGAGATTCTGGTCCAGACATTTTCAGCCCAGAACATTTCCTGTGGGAGTGTTCATATGGAAGCTTTATTATTTCTTTTTAAGATCTTAGTTCAGAAACAAGCTTTAAGAAATGTTCTAAGGGGGCTGGGGAGATGGCTCAGTGGTTAAGAGCACTGTCTGCTCTTCCAGAGGTCCTGAGTTCAATTCCCAGCAACCACATGGTGGCTCCAAACCATCTGTAAAGAGATCTGGCGCCCTCTTCTGGCGTGTGGAGGCAGAAAGTTGCATACATAATAAATAAATCTTTTAAAAATAAAAGAAATGTTCTAAGGCACATTCTTGGGTATGTTAAAAGGCAGAGACATACCTGTCTATACAGACAATAGAGCTGTCCAAGAGTTACTTAAATTGTATTTGTTTTTTTTTTTTGGAACTGAGCAAGAAAGCAACACATTTTTATTTTTAGCTAAAATTCTTTCTAGAGAAATGAGAAGACTAGATTTCACCTTGATGTCCTAGCTGTCAGATAGCTCTTAAAGGAATACGAAAGGACAGAGCAGAGCTTCAAAAGATACAGTAGAACTATGGAAGAGCCAAACTAAGGACCAAACACAAGCAGTAGCAAGCGGCTTGGTTTTAGGTTGTGAACTATCCCAGTGTGAAAAACATACACACAAAATGTAGTCGTCTAGTGACCCGACCCTCTTCCTTCACAGCCCTCCCATTGGCTATGTTCTTGGTCGATCTTCAGCACTCAAATTTTTCTTCTGGTGATTATCCACTTGCTTGACAGACTGTCTAGATTTTTAAACAGACAAAGCAAAACCAGTCTTTCTTCTTTCTCCATACATTTAGCCATCAGTTAGGTTTTCTTCCAGGGTACAAAGGAATAAATTATTTCCCTTCTTCAGATAAATGTTTTATTAAAGTTTTCATGAGGAAGAGGGTGAAGTGGTTGGATTATTGAATAATAGGCGGACTTTCTAAGTCTTAGGATTTCATTAACCCCGTTTTGTTGTGAGAAGTATTCAGGATCTTATCCCTTGTCATGATGTCACTAAAAATGTCATCTAAAGCCATCCCCTTTAATATTTCTCTGAGGATTAGGGAAAACTCAAAAGAACTATTAAATCATTTAATTTTTCTTTTAGAATTCAATGACGCTAGTGCTTTTATTCTCTTTGAATTTAGATTTAAAAAGCAGGCAAAAAGACCCTGGGTTATTTCATTGGAAAGCTCTGGTATTTTCACCTCTTCCTATCTCATTTTTACCTTTGTTAGAAACAACAACAACAACAATAGAAAAACTTTTGTGTCATTACTTTGATACAAGTGTAGCAAAGGAGCTTTTCATATATACTCTTCACCGCAGGCAGTAGCTGAGGAGCACACAGTGCTGAGTGTCACGGCTTTTCTGTGTATAGGCTCTGGTAGCCTTTGGCTTCTCTTTTGGGGGGGTTTGTATGCTGTTACTTAAATATAACTTAATAGACTAGAATGAAGTGTTTTACTAGTGATATTGAATGTTTCCACAGGAAGTGTGTATAGGACATTGGCTCATACATTTTCCTTGAGAAGAGAGTGGTAGACCGGTCAAAGCTCTTCTGTAAGCAGAAGCCAGCAAACCCAGCAAACTGGATAGCCATGCTGAGTTGGTAGCATCAATGGCCTTAGAGACAAACCTCACACGATATGTAAAAGTTGTATCAAATTGAAATAAAGAAACCCCTTTATCTTTCTTCCATCTTATTTCTTCCTTTCGCCCCTCTAAATCCCAAGGTCAGTAAAGAAAAATAACCTTGATGTGAGAGACCTGGTACAGATGTAACCAGATGTTTCAAAGTATAAAGAAAACTCCTGTTCCGAGTGGGGAGTAATAAAGGAGATAGATGCTCATATAAACATATCAGAATCCCACCAGAGAGGGCTAGATGGGCAGTCGAAACGTAGGGTGTTTTTTATGTGTATTTATAGGCATATACAGTTTTATATCTCTCGGCTCAGGCATTTAAGGTCTTTTAGATTATGCATATTAAATACAAACATAAATGGTAATTATCTTCTCCAGTGTTTTTTTGCTCCAATTAGGTAAGTTAACTTTATATCTGTGGCTGTAATGTGTGTCTCTAACACACATATATTGTTAAATGTTTAGTAGTAAAGGTTGAGTTAATTGAGCTCACATTTAATTGTTTAATTAAATCAATTGGATCAGAAATGTTTATGCCTTTGGTAAGGAAGAAGTATTATATTTAGACCTTAGCATTTCCAATCCCAGAAGAAAATCTATTTCTTTCAATTAATTCACTTGAGCTTTAACCCTGTAAGAAAATCTGTCATCTGCTGAGGACATGCTGTCTTCTTGAGAAAATAAACAGTGGTCTTTGCAGGAAAAAATGAAACAAAGAAACTTCAAGCACTTTGAAGTATGTAAAGAATTTTTTTTTTTAATTCCAAATATATAAAATAGCTACCGAAGGTTGAAAACTGAGTTTTTGGATTTTTCTTTTGAGAATCCCCCCCCCCCCAGGGAAAGGATTTTTCCTTAGTATTTTTTTTCCTTTCTTTCCGAAAACCTGTTCTTTGCCCTTGAGGCTTACAAACATTGGCTTTTGTCGAAAGAGACTTGGACTTTCCTCTCAAGGTTCGAAGAGCTAACCCTCTTCCATCCACGCTAAGATATCTCTAATTTAAGCCATGGATGATAGCTTGGGACTTGATAACAGTGACACAGACAAACATGTATGCACCACCAGAGGGGCTTCCCAGGGAATCACAAACTGTTCCTCCTTTGGCGTGAGTTCCCTGAAAGAGGAGGGACACCCAACTTCTGCTGTGGGAGGTGAGTGCCCATTGGGGTGACATCACTATTGGGGTATCACTATGTTAGAGGAAGCAGAAGGGATGATCAATACAGAGAGTATTTAGAAAGGGGTCAAACTGAGTTTCGTAGAGCAGGGCAGCCACAAATCACAATGACTTTATAATCTCTTTGTGTCTGGTATTATGCTAAATATAGAATTCAAAAAACCCCTAAATTCCTATAATGCCTAAAATTTGAGCAGTTAACATATTAATAAATTAATATGGAGCAGCTTCATTTTGTAAAAGCAGGAATGAGTCATTTTGTTAGCTCTCCAGGTTGGGTAGCACTAATGGCCATATATACACATATGTACACACACACATACATACATAGGATTATACAAATCCTATAATAATTCGATATTTCAAAAATGAAGATTGACTTCCTAATTTGTATCTGTTATAAAGCTTCCATATTCATCACATCTATGAAAGGACAGTTCTACCTTGTTTCCCGGTTTGTTGCTGGTTGCCATTTCCAACAGTGAACCCCACAAAGTCATGTCTGTTTCCATGCCAACAGGACCTCTTGGGAGAGCATCTTCAGTAAGAGCCCGGAGGTGGTGAGTCCTCTGCAGCTCCAGTGTTGCCAGCGCTTGGTGGAGCTTTGTAAGCAGTGTCTGCTGGTGGTTTACAAATACACCAATGAAACGCGAGGGCCCATCTCAGGCATCGGCCCTGACTGGGGTAACTCCAGGTGAGTCGGACTTTCTTAGTTCCCTGTGTGTATCGTGTAGAGACATGGCATGGGGCAGTTTGAAATTGAGGGTCTTTTTCAATTAGGAGTCTTTTTATGCCTGGTTAGGGGATCATCAAAAACTGAAAATGCATCCATTTCCTAATCAACAAAGCAGCTTCTATTTGCACAGCCTTTGTCTTTAAGAAACCGAAGAGCAATCACTAGCCTAAAGGGGTATGTGTAATGTGATTGGAAATATGCATATTTGATGTATATATTCCTGTTTCTAAAAACCTTGGAAGAGCACTCCAAAATGCTGGAATAAAATCAACTATTATTGGGCATTTCAACATTCATCCCTGATAACAATATGATTGAGAAAGTGCATTTGGTTTGATTTTATTTATTCAACATGCTTCTACCAAGACATTGGCCACGCCAATCAGCAGGAGATGAATTTTTGTCAAGCTCTATCACAAAATTGAATTTCAGGTGTATCCAGTTAAAACATGTAGTTCTTCTGAAAGTAGAAACACATTAACAAGAAACAACTGTCACGCTGCAAATGGACAGAATAAAAGTGTAGTCCCTTTAGAACGTCACTATACGTTTGCACTTCCTATCAGAATTCAAGATGAGTTGTAACTCTGGGTACAGATTACAGCTTGGTTTGGTGGTAGGAAATTGGAGCCAGGATTTTACACAGGATGGGTGCTGAGCTGAGCTCCCAGCCCTTTTCACTTTAGTTTTATTATACTAAAGTTGCAGTGTTACTGAGAGTAGAAGCAAGTGAGGGATGAAAATGAAGTCATAGTCAAAAAGGAGTGAGAGTCAGGGAGGAGATTTGAAAATAAAGAGCGGTTGGAATCGCTAGACGTGGACGCAGTGAGATCATCTCTCTTCGGGGAGGGTGAGAGCTCTCGAGCCCACTCTCTTCCACAGGACCCGGAATCGCAGAATGGATTGGAATATTTTCCTCAGAAAGGATCAGCCCACATATTTGTCTTAGATTTTGTTTCTTGTACACTGTGTAGTATATCTAATCTGTTTTGACTATTTTGTTTTTGCAAATAGTAACCGATTGATCATAACAATTACAGAGACAAAGCTAACTGTATTTTATTATTTTATTTATTGTTTTTTTGTGGTTTTTCTTTTTTATTGATTTTTATTGAGCTGTACATTTTTCTCTGCTCCCTATCCCTGCCTCTCTCCTTCCCTTCAACCCTCCCCCCAAGATCCCCATGCTCCCAATTTACTCAGGAGATCTTGTCTTTTTCTACTTCCCGTATAGATTAGATATATGTATGTCTCTCTTAGTGTCCTCATTGTTGTCTAAGTTTTTTGCGATTATAATTTGTGGTTCTGGTTTTCTTTTCTTTATGTTTAAAAACCACTTATGAGTGGCTACATTGATAATTGTCTTTCTGTGTCTGGGTTACCTCACTCAAAATGATGTTTTCTAACTCCATCCATTTTCCTGCAAAATTCGAGATGTCGTTATTTTTTTTTCTGCTGTGTTTCCATTATGTAAATGTACCATATTTTCCTTGTCCATTCTTTAGTCGAGGGACATTTAGGTTGTTTCCAGGTTCTGGCTATAACAAACAATGCTGCTATGAACATAGTTGAGCACATGTCCTTGTGGCACGATTGAGCATCCTTTGGATATATCCCAAAGTGGTATTACTGTCTCTTGGAGGAGTGTTGTTTCTTAATTTTCTGAGAAATCGCCATATTGACATCCAAAGGGGCAGTACCAGCTTGCATTCCTACCAACAATGCAGAAGTGTTCTCTTACCCCACAGCCTCTCCAGCATAAGCTGTCTTCAGTGTTTTTGGCCATTTATTTATTTATTTATGTAAATTGAAAAAGAACTTTTTTCATATAATATATTTAATCATGTTTTCATCTCTCCTAATTCCTCCCAGATCCTTCCCACATCCCTACCCACCAAAATTTATGTTTCTTTCTCTCTCTTTAAGAAACAAACAAAACAAAACAAAACACAAATAAGAGCCAAGATACACAGATACACACACAGGAAAACAGAGAGAGAGAGAGAGAGAGAGAGAGAGAGAGAGAGAGAGAGAGAGAGAAGAGAGAGAGAGAGAGAGAGAACCAAGATCTACAGGCAAAAGACCAATAAGACAAAAAAAAAATGCCCAAAGCAAAGTGAAGTAAAATAAAATAGTCAACAAAAATATCCCCAAGTTTGTTTTTTGTCCAACTACTTCTGGGCATGAGGCCTACTGTGAAATGTGGCTAATACACCCAGTGAGACCACACAGGAGAAAACTAACTTTTCCATTCCCGGTGGGCATCAATTGAGGATAGCTTCTTAGGGGTGGGAGTCCATGTTCACTTCCCCCACTCAGTACTGGAATCCCATGTGGCGTGAGCCTGTCCAGGCTTTGTGAATGCTGTCACAGTCTCTGAATCCATCGGCACATCAGTCCTGTGACTGGAAGACACTTCCTCAGAGTCACCTGTCACCTCTGGCTCTCAACAATCTTTCGGCCTCCTCTTCTGCATATTCCCTGAGCCTTGAGGGGAAGGGGTTGGTGACAGAGAAATGACAGCATCTTCAAAAAATAGTGCTGGATACTGCATGTAGAAGAATGGAAACAGAATCATATTTATCACCCACCCTGTGCAAAACTCAACTCCAGATGCATCAAGAACCTCAGCCTAAGAGACACGCTAAACCTGATAGAGGAGAAAGTGCAGATTAGGCTTGAACTTGCTGGCACAGGAAATGGCTTTCTGAACAGGACACTAATGACACAAGCACTAAGATCAACAGTGAATAAATGGGACCTTATGAAGCTGGGAAGCTTCTATATGGCAGAAGGCACTGTCAGTTTAGACAAAGCTGCAGGCTACAGAAGAGTAAAAGATCTTTATCAATTCTACATCTGATGGAGGATTAGTATCTAAATATATAAAGAACTAAAAAGGCAGAACATCAAGAAGACCAAATTAAAAAAAAAGGGAGTACAGAACAAAGAAGCTAGTTTTCAAAAAATGAAACATAAATGGGTTAGAAACACCTAGGGAAATGTTGAGCCTCCTTAAGCCACCCAGACAATGCAGATGGAAACTACTTTGGGATTTTATTTTAGCACAGTCAGAATGGCCACGATCAATCAAGCTGACTGTAGTTCACGCTGTCAAGGATGGAGAGCTGCTGATGGGAGGGCTAGCTCGTACAGCCACTGTGGAAAGCATGGTCATGGTGCCTCAGGAATCTGGGAATAAATGTACCTTAAGATTCAGCTATACCATATATACTTTTGGGCATATACCCAAAGGGCTCGACATCCTCCCATGGAGATGGAGATACTCATCTGTTTTCATTGCTGTTTTGTTCACAATAGCCAGAAATGGGGAATAGCTTAAATGTCCATCAGCTGATGGACAGGAACATGTGGTACAACTGCACCATGGAATATTATTCAGCTGTTAATAAAAATGAAATCATTAAATTCAGAGATAAATGGATGGAGTTGGAAAAAGTTATCCCAAGTGAGGCAACCAAAACCCCAAAGACAAATATTGTATCTTTTACTTTATATATGGTTACTACCTTTTAAGCCTTGGATTTGCATGGTACCATCCAAATAACCACAGAGGTTAGGAACCTGGTAAGGGACTAGGGGAGAGGTGAGCATCTTCCCCCAAAACTCAGGGCTTTACATGTTCTAGGCCAGTGCTCTCATTACTGAGTTCCTGAACCCAAGCTGAAAAGGAGAAATTCGGAAAATTAATTGATGTACAGTTTCTTTTTGGGGATGATGACAGTGTTCTTGGCTTGCAGGTGGCTATATAAGATTAATATACTTAGCTTACTGAATTTTATATCCAAGAATGATAAAAAATATTTCTGTCATGAAATTCAAGACAATAAGAAAAATCCTCCAAAAGCATAATGCGCATGGTTTGTTGAATTTTATTTACCCTGCAGTCCTCAAACTAGGAAGCTGGGTTTGTCTAAAGGAGTTCAGGGGTCCTTGTCCTACTACAGAAAGATGTTGGAAGGTGAATGTCACTTACATGGTCAAGGAAAAGTCCCCTATCGGTTTTAAATGACTGATATTCTGGGCATCATCAGAGTTAACAATAAGATAGCATATGAAAACGAGTGTGGCTATGGGTTGTGCAGTGAGGTCAATGGAGAGTCAGGTGCATTGCTTTTGGGTACGAGTTAGCTGTGAGTTATTGTGGTACAGGAAAAATAAGCTAAGCAAAAAGCTGTAAATTTCTTTGTATTTTGATGCTTATATAAAGTCTTCAGATAGAGTCTATAAATTCCCTTCCTTGAGACAGACAGTCTTCGTGCCTAAAAAAAAAAATTCAAATTCTACTATTTAACTCCAATGCAAAGAACAATTTAAAAGTAATATTTGCTGTGCAGCTACTGGAGTCTCCCAGGAGATATTAGTGGAGACTTGGAGGCAAATAGCTATTGCATTTCTCCAGAACGCCTTGCAATACCCACAGCATTTGTTTTAGCTAAGCAGAGTGTTTTTCCAGTATAATTTCATATACTTTTTCCAGTTCATATCTCACTTCTTTTTCTTCCAAATCCAAAAGAACAGTTTCTTACTAACTACCGCTTCTATTAGAAAGTTGGGGTTTGTGGTGTCCTTACCCACTGTACTTCCTGGGTAATTTTATACTTCATGTTCCTGAAAGTGTTATTATAACGATTGTATACAGGTTTTAAAGGGGTATTTTTGTGTGCCATGACAAAGAGTCTGGAATTGTCATGACCACGGAGTGCAGTCCTCAAGAGCAGCAAAGCTGTAGATTTGCACAGGCATGAGCAGGGGAAAGACAGCTGCTTCATACAGCTTATTCGCCTGTAGAATGTCGCTAACAGTGATATGTACTTAGGTAATTGTTATTAGGGTAAAATATGTTAACATCTATAAAAAAATAGAATAGAGATGGCCAATAAAATGCTATTTAAATAATTGTTTAGTATAAAATAAATCACCTCGGATCCTGTACTTTGTGATCTTATTTATTTATTTATTTATTTATTTATCTCATGTGTCAAAATGGAGCTCAAGGTCTTTGTGAGACTGGGTATGATTTTCCAACACTCAGGAGGCTGAGGACGGGAGGAGCATGGGTTCCAGATCTACTGAGAGACAGTAGAAAGTCGCTTTTGTGCATGTTTCTCAAGTGTCAATAGTGCCAATTTATTGGAAATTAAAAATTTTAATTGGAGGATTGTAAAGATAGCTCAGTGACTAAAATGTTTGCTCCAGAAGCATGAAGACCTGAATTTAGATCCTCAGAACCCACCTTAATAGCAGAAACTCAGGAGGTATACTGGCCACCTATAATCCCAGAACCTAGGAGATGGGGATGTTTGGGACAAGCTGGCTGGCTGGAGGTGCTGAGCTACAGGTTCCCTGAAAGACACCGTCTAAGCACATAAAGTAGAACAAGATGGAGAGAAACAACTGCCATCGACCTAGGGACTCTACAGGCATGCTCAGGCGACCACACACATGCTGTACAACACACATACACATGTGTGAAGTTTGATAGAAGTTGCTGTTTTTGTATTATTCCTGATGCCTTTTCCACAGAGCTTAGACTGTCCCCACCCACTGTGGATTCGTAGGTTTTGATCAGTGCCTTATTTTATTTGCTCCTTGCCCTACATAAGAAGGGACGCTTTCCCGTGCCAAAGGTATCAGATTAATCATTAAGACTTCACCGGCACTTGACATCATAATTAATCCATATAAATTACCCTAGTTATATTAAGAAAATAATTTATATAATCTGTGATGTGAGAAATCAGTTGTTTCATTATTCATCAGCTATTCTGGAGTTTTGATTTAATTTACTTTGTTGTGCGTTATTTGACTGCTCTATTAACTTAATGATCAGCACAATTATTTATAGTTTGTGATATTAGGTAACAGATTTAGTAGGTATTATTATTTAGGATGAAATAATGTTTATGGATAGTATGAAAAATTCTATTTTAATCTGATGCTGTTTGCAGTTTTATTATAATGAATTCTTTTCTTTTCCTAAGATTTACAGAAATCAACTGTAAATTTAGTTTCTCATTAATATAGACATATCCTAGTTCTCAGCATTGAAGTCATAGACTAGGCCGCTGACAGGTCTTACCTATCACTTTGCTTCTTATGTGTTCATTCATGATACTGCTTAGAAGATTCCAGTGGCCAAAGAAGGAAATGAAGCAGTGATGCTCTCCTGTCCCTTGTTATTGGAAATTCCTCAGAGATCCCTTTAACCTGACTTTACAATACATTGCTGTAGTTATTACTACAACATAGGCTTTATATACCATGGTTAATTTTCATTTACATTTATGGATTTTCTTGGCCATTCAGCTATAGATCTATAGATTGGACTGACCAAGCTATCAAGATTTTTACAGGAAAAGAAAATATGGGTACCTAATTCCATATTTTATGTAATTCCCAGTTTTTAAAACTTGACATTGAAAACAAACAAACAAACAAACAAAAAACAAGGTCCAGTTTCTTGGCAAATTTGACCTGAATTAGAACATAAATTTGCTTGTAGTATTTATTATCACTTGTGAATATAAAATTAATGTTTTTTGCAGAATGTTGCACCCTGATATATATATCATATATAACATATATATGTTATATATAATATATATTAACACATACTATCTTGTCTTTCTATTTTTATTTTATTTTATTTTATCTTTTTTCGGGACAGGGTTTCTCTGTGGTTTTGGAGCCTGTCCTGGAACTAGCTCTTGTAGACCAGGCTGGTCTCGAACTCACAGAGATCCACCTGCCTCTGCCTCCCGAGTGCTGGGATTAAAGGCGTGCGCCACCACCGCCCGGCCTATCTTGTCTTTCTAAAATCTGGGGAAAAATCAGATATTTGGAAATACATTTGGCTTCATGATTACATCAATCTGTAACATAAACACTGAGTTATCTAAGAATACAAAGCTTCTAATTAAGAATGTTTTAGATTAACTACAGTTATATTGAATCAATAAGATATTACACAATTAGGATCTGTGTTTCTATATCATTTAAATAAACGCTGAGGTTAATGCGACCTGCCAAATTCTTCATGAAAATAATTAGTAAAAGGCTAAAGATTTGAGATGTCAAAGTATCTGATTCTTCTATCACGTTTTAAGGGGCTGTTACTCCGGTTCTATGTGTTAGTTACAGGCACTGATAATGAATTATAAGTTTATGTGAACCAACAAACAGCACTGTGATGTTTGAGTACAATGATAATAGCATGTCATGGTATGCTAATTTCATATGTCGTATACGTTCAGCTTTCTTAAGATGGAAATTTTTGTATGAACTATATTGTTGTGATAGTCACAGTTTTCAGATAAGAAGGGTAAATAACTAGTTGTGTAATCCTTTCATGAATTATATTGACATTAAAGTTTTGTTGCAACCAACCAATTTTTTAACTATCTTATTTATTTATTTATTTATTTATTTATTTATTTATTTATTAGGTATTTGCTGCCAGGAAGTACCCAGTTCCTCATGAGATCATCACTATACAACATGAAATATAATTCGCCCGGAATGACTCGCTCCAATGTTTTGTTTACATCCCGATATGGCCATTTGTGAGACTGAATGCTGGAGTATTGTCATGGGCTATACATAATAGCAATTCATTTATTTTGTCTAGTTGAACCTTGAGGAAGTGACCCTTATGTGCCGTTTTATGTATATATGTCATATAAGTGTGTGGAATACATACACACATGCACTCAAGTAACATATAAATATATATATTTATTTATTATATGTAAGAAGAATTAGCAGAAAACTGAATATAAGACTTAACCTTTCTGGAAATATAATAAACCATGTTAAAGTTGTTTACACAAATATGCAAATGTGTAGAAATTGCTAGGTTTACAATTAATTACTTCCTACTAGAAATGTTATTTTTGCTGCAGAGTATATAAAGCAGAATTGATCTTGAAGATCCCCTTACAGTGTTAAATTATTTTCTAGATAACACAGCTTAGAGTTCAGAAAGCACCGAGCATATCTTATCACTGACTTCTCTCGCTTCTAGCAACTGTTTAACAGTGAAACACAAGCGATGCAGAAGCCTGGGGTTGGCTTGATGATAGGATTAGGATGAAACGGGTTTATGGTTACTGTAGCACACTGTAAAGTCCTAGAACAAAATCCTCGCCTGACTCCCCAACATTTTATCCTCCTATGTGGAAACATAGCTACTTGTTCTCATGTATACTTTCAGGAAAGATCTGATGAGGTCATAGTGTGATCTAAAGGGGAGACAGTCCAGTGGCTTCCGAATACAATGCAAACTTGCTTTGACTTTCCATGAGAGTCACACAAGGAGACAAGATGGTGGCAGTCATAGGGCTTGGCTGTGGGACTTTTGTGACACATAGCACTCACATTTCTCTGGAAAATATATCATGGATGGGTTTAAGTCTCTCAGTGTTGAGACCAATATACCTTGCAAAGTGTCTAATGACAGTGATGTCTCATTTCACCTCAGAAAATAATCTGAAGGCTCTGAAGAGAAGCCTACACGGAACACATGTCACTACCCACTGATGTGCCATGGAGCCAGTCTTTAATTCAACTTCAGTGTGGCATTGTCTTTCTGTCCAGGCACTGTGCATGTGTTCCCGAGCAGCATACTCCCATGCTCCCTTTTCTTGCTCACAGTTTCAAAGCCAATGTGTTGCTTTCAGTTTCCACAGACAACACAGTCATGGATTTTTTAACTCAGGAAGTATAATATTTGCTCAAACTTCCCTCCAAAGGTTTTACTCACAGATGCTAAGTATTTGCAAAACTCAAGATTGTTTACCATCTTTTCATATCTTAGAATATATTTCCAGTAAATGAAGAAATAACTCCACGGCGGCAGCAGTCAGAGCCCATTTGTCCCAGGCTCATTCAAAGGTGGATCGTTGGTGACCCAAGTTGTAAGGTATATGTATTTTACTTTTAAAACCACCTTTGGAGAATATATTTTTTACTGCAATATTCATTATTTTACACAAATTAATGGTAGCCATTTTACTTCTTTATGGCTGCTCACCCACACACATTCCATCAGAGATTTTTCCGAGTACAACCCACATAGTTTTTTCTTGTGTTTTCAAAGGAGACTAAAGCATCCAAATGAAGAAAATGAATGTGGAACTTAGGAGTTCATATTGTGAATTATTCAATAAGGTACAGAGTAATTAAAATAAGTGATACAAATATTAGAACATTACAGAATCTTTATGGAATAATCAGCAGTCAGTCCTTTTAATGGTTTATTTATAGTCATTTTTGTTTTCAATTCATGTTTAAAAATCATGGAAAAATAAAAGAACATAGAAGTTATGGATATATGTTTTAAAGTAATTGGTAAGTGATACCAACCCAATTTGTTGTTCATTCACTTTGTGTATATTAAATCACAAATAATTATTTGATGAGATAGAGTATATGCTTTGAAACTTTTATTTCATTCAAGAAAGGAATTTTTGTTTAAAACCAAAAAAAAAAAAATTGGGGCTTTGCCACAGTAGGTATTCTCACTCTAGAAACGCACACACATTAAAAAACAAGCGTACATTTAAATACATAAAACTGCCAAGTATTTGGTGAGCAAACATCATTCCTTTAGCTACTCAAGCAAGGCCTTGTTCTGAGAACTAGAATTTCATTGCCTACATTTTTCTGTCTCAACTGGTTGGCTACGATGAAGTCGTGCAGAAAGCCATGTGCTCATTATTTATGTGCATTACCTGGTGTGCTGTGGGCTGTGGTTGTCATAGCACCGTTCCCTAATGAGCAGCTATGAGAAGACATGATAATGAGCCATGGAAGTCTCAGGAGGCCATAGATGGGTTTTAGAGGTATAAATTATTCCTTAGTTTTTGTTATCAATTTCTTATGCAGATGGTTAAAACATATCTACCTAAAAGACAGTATGAATTTCTCTTTCACAAGAGAGAAAGAAAACTTCAGAAACTACTTGATCTCATCAGGGTTTTGTTGTTGTTGTTCAGATGGATTTTGGTTTACTTACCAGGGTAGGGGATAGGTATAGACAGGTTGCCCTAGTAGTTTGGATCAGCTCAAGGTTGGAATGCTTCCCCAAACTGTAATATATGAATTTTTTCCAAACTAAGTAGTAGCTTGTTTATGTTATCACCTACAAATAAAATCCAAAGTCACAGTTTAGTTTTCCCTAAGTAAACCAGCCTTGTGGGTTTGAATCTATTAAAAGACCCTGCTGCAATTCATTTTACTTTGCATGAATTTTATTTTGTTTGATTTCATTTATCTTCAACATATGAACATAAAGTTTTATATGGAGCACAGAGTGAAGCAACTCTGCTGTCTGTAAGGATTTTCCTGAATTAGATCAAATCCCCTAAAGTTTCCTTGACTCCTTATCTCTAAAGTTCAAACCAAACCCACACTCCTTTCTTTTAACTAATATTTATGCATGCACAGGAAATAAGTGTCTCCTAGACTTTGAAAAAAATGATTATATTCAAATTATCTCTTTAGCCTGGAAAATAGATGAGTATGGGATTATGCTGATTTGAAGCTTCAGTTGTTTGAGTATAAACCCAATGCTTTCTTCTTTAACATGTCAGTGTCATTTATGTAAACATTATCTTCATATTTAAACATATGCAATAGCACTGTTCAAAATACCAAAAAGATAGCTGCATATATGTCATTGTTTAATCTTCTGTAAAGCACTGATTCCTTCTTAAATATATATTATTTAAAAGGTAGTAAATACCTCAAGAGTGATAGAAAAATCCCTTCCTTTCCTATTTAGCATTGCTAATTTGAATTCGGGATCTCATGTACTTGTTCTAAGCATTAACCAACAATAAAAGTATAACTGTACAATTGTATTACTGTGACCTGGTGATTTTGGGTCATTTGATTTTCTCTTTAAAATGAGGACTTCAAGTGTAAAGGGCCATGTCATCTACACATTGATTATTAGAGATTTAATTGGTTTTAGACTAACGTTGGCTTGTAAATAAATGAAAACTGTAGAAATGTATTCATAAAGAAAACTTGATTTGTCACACCGCTTTCTCTCTCTCCTATTTTCCTTCTTCAAATTTCCTTTGAAACTTTAACTGTGCATGGCCAAAGTAAAAAAGAAGAGAAATCTTGCCTTTTAGACAGTGGTCTTCCTTGAATTCTTATAGTGGTGTGGTTTTGCCTGAACAACATTAAAACTTCAATGAAATATTGGATCAAGTTAAGTTTGCTGAGAACTTTAGGAACAAGGTTGAGGCCTGTATGTCTATAATGCATGAAATGTGTGGATCTCTGTGATGTGAGATGCATTTTAACAGTCTTATAACAGAAATTGGCACGTTGAAATGACACATGTTGAGGTTGCTTCTATTTTTGAGGATCTATCATGAAGTGGTATATGGTGTATTGGAAGAAATTTACTCAGGTAAACAATATGATACTGAGGTGTGTGGCAGCCAAGAAGAACAGTATAATGCTTTCAACTTTATCACCACCTGTGAATTAGAAAGCGCTTGCCTTGACAAACACATCACTCAACAGACTAATCAGTCTTAATTAGCAAGAAGGCTTGCCTTTGAAAAGTGGTCAGATGCTTATTTCTATCAAAGGCTAATAGCCATTCTGGTCCTTGAGTTCATATAACAACTACCCTACGTGCTACAGCATCTGAATTTTAATGGACTTGCAGAGGAGTCTGAATTTGAGGGTGAGGGAATACATTTGCTAACACAAATCATGGATCAAATTATCCCTTTGTGCTTTACTTCCTGTATATGAATGCAAATGTTGCAGAAGATGCACCTGGAATGTAAACAAAACTTGCAGTTAACATTGCCATGGCATGCTCTAGCATGTGACACCTGTATGGAGAAATTACTTCAATTACTCAGATATGTTACTATAATAAAAATGTCAACACAAGAAACCAACAGTATGTCATCATTTGATTTCTCCTTTTACATAGGAACATGCACACTACATGCACACATACTGATTTCAGTAGGAGAAGAGACTGCAACCAATTAAGCAAATTGAATTAAGTATTTAATTTAGTGAACATATTTTCACAGTAATTTTTGCTGCTGTGCAGCAACTGTTTTTAAAGAATTAGGTCAATAATATATAAATAGCTCAAGAAACTAGACATCAAGATACCAAATTATCCAATTAAAAATGGGGTACAGATCTAAACAGAATTCTCAACAGAAGAATCTCAAATGGCCGAAAGCCACTTAAAGAATTGCTCAACGTCTTTAGCCATCAGGGAACTACAAATCAAAATGTCTCTGAGATATCATCTTACACCAGTCAGAATAACTAAGATAAAAAACACAGATGGTAGTTTACACTGGAGAGGATGTGGAATAAGGGGAACACTCCTTCATTGCTGGTGGAAGTGCAAACTTGTACAACCACTTTGTAAAACAATATGGCACTTTCTCAGAAAATTGGGAATCAACCTACCTCAAGACCCAGCAATACCACTCTTAAGCATATACCCAAAGGATGCACACCATACCACAAGGACTCAACTATGTCCATAAAAGCATTATTCATAATAACCAGAACCTAGAAACAACCTAAATGGTCCTCAACCAAAAAATGATAAAGAAAATGAGGTACGTTTACACAATGGAGTACTACTCAGTGGTAAAAACAAAACAAAACAAAACAATGAAATCTTGACATTTGCAGGCAAATGGATGGAACTAGAAAAAAACATCTTGAGTGAGGTAACACAGACCCAGAAATACAAATATGATATCTATTCACTCATAAGTGGATATTAGACATAAAGCAAAGAATAACCAGCCTATAGCCCATGACCTCAGAGCGGTTAGGTAACAGGAGAACCCTAAGAGAGACATGCATGGATCTCCATGGGAAAGGGAAATAGACACATTCTCCTGAGAAAATTGGAAGCATAGGGGTGGGAAGGCAGGCGGGGAGGAAGAAGGGAGAAGGGAAGAGGGATGAGAACATGAAGGAAAGGGATGGCTGAAATGGTGGAAGGACAGAGAGACAGAGAGGGAGAGCAAGGAGTGAGATATCTTGATTGAGGGAGCCATTATGGGGCTAACAATAAATCTGGCACTAGAGAATTTCCCAGGAATCCACAAGGTCCCAGCTAAGACCCTAAGCAATAGTGGAGAGGGTAACTGAACTGGCCTTCCCCTGTAATCGGATTAATGACTACCTTAATTGTCATCATAGAAACTTCATCCAGCAACTGAAGGAAGCAGATGTAGAGATTTAGCTAGCACAGGACTAAGCTCCCAGAGTTCAGTCAAAGAGAAGGAGAAGCAATAATATGATCAAAGGGATCAAGACCATGATGGGGATACCCACAGAAACAGTTGACCTGAGCTAGTGGAAACTCACTGAACCCAGGCTGACAGCAGGGGAACCTGCATAGCCCAAACTAGGCCCTCTGAATGTGGGTGATGATTGTGCAGCTGAGGCAGTCTATGCAGCCACTGGCAGTGGGACCAACATTTATCCCAAGTGCTTGAACTGGCCTTTCAGAACCCACTCTCTTAGGATGGATACCTTGCTCAACCTAGCTATAGGGGGAGGGCCTTGGCTCCCATGTGATAAGGGCTTTTGTCTTTAATGATATTCTAACGTTACTCCTTGGCAGCCAAGAGCTTCACAGGCTATCTTGGTATATCTGGAAGCACTTGTTGGCCATCTGAAATAATATTCTCAAACAAAAGGCCTGCTGCTGATGTAGGAAGCTGGAATTTATCCAAAGCTTGCCACGTTATTTGTGAGAGACAATTTTTTATCATGTCAGATGTTTTGCTGTGTCTGTTTTATTTAGAGAAATGTGGTGGCACTTCCTCAGCCTTAGTAAGTTCTGTCACAGTTTTATGCCATGCAAATACTGTTGAATTATCCCTCTTTAACAATATGACAAAACTGTCCTCGGGTGTGTTTAAGGAGTATAAACTGAGATGTAGTATCACAGTCTACATTGAAAAAAATAAAAAATGATTTTTAGGGTTTAATTTTTAATTATGTGTATATGTGAGTATATGTGGGTATGTGCACCTGCGTGCAGGTATCCACAGAATCGAGGCGAGGGCATCAGATCCTCTGGAGCTGGAGTGACAGGTGGTTCTGAACTGACTTACATGGGTGATGAGAGCTGAATTCAGGTTCTCTGTAAAAGCAGGAGACACTCTTACCTAGTGAGCCATCTCTCCAGCACCCCAGACTGAAGTATTTCATGCAATTATCTAGAATATTGACATTCTTGTCAACTGAGGAGCGACTATCTTGGCTCTTCTCAGAAAGCGATACTCATCTTTTTTGAACTATCATTTTATGACTGTCTTCCATATTTAAGTAAATAATAGAAACACGGAAGATGAATGAATGAAACAGTCCTAAGAGCAAGTGTAAGTGGAGACACACCCTTCACAGATTAAATCAATTCTGCAATAACAAAACTTCAAGGGTAGCCACAATGCATCTGTATTTAGCCAAGCTCTGTTGTATTGTGGCAGTTCTGTTGCTCGCATTAGAACAAGATCTTCTAAAAGATCAAAAATGGAATTAAGTTTGAAACCTGCAGCATGCTGTTAGCAGTAAAAATGTTAATCTGTGTGTTTATAATACATCTGACTTAGAGGAAAAGTCTATGACACAGTGTATCTGAAAAATCGAGAATATATAAACCTTAATACATTCTAAGAAAATACCATTTCAGCATATTACCTCATTTTCATTAAAATGATGAAAATGTGAATACAGAAAATCACTTAGTCCTCAGGCTAAAAATAGGTAGATCATCAAAACCTAATATCATTTTAGCTCAAATTGGTATTTGTTCAGTAAATGTTCTACTTCATAATGTGAAAAGTACAAAGGAAAAATTCAAATTTGGGCAAGAAATGGGGCTTTAAAAAACCAAACAAACAGCTAATTCTATTGTTTTGCCTTCTGAATCTGAAGTTATAGGCTTGCCATGAAATGTTTATTGCAAAAAAAGGATAAACAGATCCCTCAGAAATGATCTCAAGTTCATCTAGTACTGCAGCAGCTCAGCCTCGAGTTCTTCAGCCAAGTCTTACTTATATTCAATTTTCAAATTAAATCTTCTCTCATTTCCAACCCACTCACTTCTACCTTTTCTCCAGTGAAGCACAGCTATGCTATTTCTAAAATAAAAAAAAATAAAAACAAAAACGTGAAACCAGTCTTGCTGACTTTAGTTGTTTTAACTAAAACAGTGTGTGTTCACACATATCCAAAGGAGCAGAAGTGGGAAAGACATGTGTTGGCTAGCTTAATTGTCACTGTGACACAACCTAATACTGCCTGGACGACAGTCTCATGAGGGACTGTCTACATTGGGTTGGCTTTGGGCTTGCCTGTGAGAGATTGTCTTAATTGGTGTAGGAAGAGCCAGTTCACCGTGAGCATCCCTATTTCCTAGGCAACGGGATCCTGAACTGTGTTAAGAGCCAGAAACAGAGCTAAGCACAAGCACAATGCATTTGCCTCTCTGCTCTTGACTGTGGGTGACCAGTTGCCTGACACTGCCACCATCTCAGAATGCCACCACCAGAATCTCTTGTGTCCTGGTAAGCCAGAAGTAATCCATTTGAAGATCTGGCAGGTTCTGATGTTGATTTCCCTCTCCTTACATGGGAGGTATTTCTACAGGGCCTGCTGGTGACAGAGGCAGCCTAATGGAGAAGACTTCATGTTGGCTCCTAGCTTTAGAAGAGACTAAGAAGGCCTACTGTTGGCTTTCAATGCCTTTACTATAGCTTTGACTGCAGAAGGGACAGACATGTTATTCACATCTTCCTTCTTCATCCTGGCAAAACAGGCTATGAAGGCTCTAAGA